CTTGAAACTCTGGAAGTTCTTTGTCAATCTATGGTTGCAGCCGTTTTCTGTATTACCTTTAATAAAACTTTACTTGTATGGAATATTAAAGATATTGTCTGATGATTTCCGTATTCCGTTGGGTCACCTCTCTTTGGAATGGGCACAAACGGAGATCTCTTCTGATCAGCTGGCTAGATAGTTGTCTTCCAAATTTCTTGGCATAGATGAGTGAGTGCCTCCAGTGCCGCTTTCTTTCTTGAAAGATTTCAATTTTTATTCCATCAATTCCTGGTGCCTTGTTCTTTGCCAATTTCTTCAATGTGCCTTGGACTTCTTCCTTTAGTATCATTGGCTCTTGATCGTATGCTACTTCTTGAAACGGTTGAAGATCAATCATTTCCTTTTGGTACAGTGACTCTGGGTATTCCTCCCATCTTTTTTTTCTGTCTGCAGTGCACGATTTAATGGGCTGAAGTGTAACAGTAAGTCTTCATTCTGGACAAGGGGTGGGGGTGAGACTGGAAGCTGGCACCCCACATGACTGGGGGGTGGTTAGCCTCCATGGCGCCTTCCATCTTCTTTTGATGCTTTCTGCCTCATTCAATAATTTCCCCAGAGAATCCTTCAATAATGAAATCGAGGCTTGACTTTTTTCTTCAGTTCCCCCAGCTTGAGAAATGCTGATCGTGTTCTTCGTTTTTTTGCTTTTCTGACTCCAGATCTCTGCACATTTTGTTGTAATATTTGACTTTGTCTTCTTGAGCTAACCTTTGAAATTTTCTGTTCAGCTCTTGTACCTCCTCATTGGAGAGTAAGTTTCCGTTTCTCTTCTGACGTCTATTTTGACCGTTTCCTTCTTTCTTGTCTTCTTAATGACTTTTTCTTTCCTTTCTATATGATGTTCTTGATGTCATCCCACAACTCTTCTGTTCTTTGGTCTTTAGTGTTTAATATACCAAATCTGTTCTTCAAATGATCTCTAAATTCAGGTGGGATATATTCAAGGTCATATTTTGGCTCTCGTGGACTTGTTTTCATTTTCTTCAGCTTCAGTTTGAATTTGCGTATCAGTAATTGATGGTCTGTTCCATAGTCTGCCCCTGGCCTTGTTTTCACTGATGATACGGAGCTTTTCCACCATCTCTTTCCCCAGATGTAGTCAGTTTGTTTTCTTTGTATTCCATTGGGCAAGGTCCATATGTATAGTCGTCTCTTATGCTGTCTAAAGAAGGTATTTGAAATGAACACATCATTGATTTTGCAGAATTCTATCATGCATTCTCCAGCATAATATCTATCACCAAGGCCATATTTTCCAACGACTGATCCTTCCTCTTTGCTCCCAACTGTTGCCATTTCAATCACCAGTAAGGATCAGTACATCTTGATTGTGTATTTGATCAATTTCAGATTGAATAAGTTGGTAAATTTCTTCTATTTCATCCTCACTGGTTTTAGTGGTTGGTGCATAAATTTGAATAATAGTGGTATTAACTGTAGGCACATGGATGTTATCCTGTCACAGACAGCGTTGTACCTCATTATTGATCTGGATATGTTCTTTTGACAATGAATGCAACACCATTCCTCTTCAATTTGTCATTCCTGGAATAGTAAACCGGGAGTGTACGTTGGTACAGGTTTATATAGGGACTGAGGAGGGGAGGGGCTAGGCTTTGGATCTGTTTGAGGACAGGGGGGAAATCAGGAGACCGGTCCTGCTGGGTAGCTTAATTAGCATTTTAGCTTGTCTCCTGGGAGGAGAAGGCAGTTAATGTTTTCTGGGAGGGGGAGGTTAATATTTTACCTTTTCCTGTTCATTCCTTTTGAGTTGATTTTGACCCATAGTGACCACTTCCCAGTCCTGCACCGTCCTCACCATCACTAAGTTTGAACCCACTGTTGTTGACACTGTGTCAGTCCATCTCATTTGGAGCCTGCCTCTTTTTTGCTCACCCTCTGATTTACCAAGCATGATGTTTTTCTCCTGGGATTAGTTTCTCTTGTTAACATGTCCAACGTATGTGACACGAACAGTCTCTCTCCATCCTTGCTTCTAAGGAGCACTGTGGTTGCACTTTTCCTAGATAGATTTGCTTGGTCTTCTGGTGTGTTGGTGGTTGTTGTTGTTGGTGTGCTGTGGAGTAGCTTCCAGCTCAGAGACCCTGCTGAGTTTCTGAGGCTGTGAATCTTTACATGAGTCCTGGTGTGGCGCTGTGGGTAAAGCACTGGACCACAAGGTCCTTGTGAACCACAAGGTTGGTGGTTCAAACTCACCAGCCAATCTTCAGAAAACCTATACAGGACTGACTTGAAGGCACTTAACAACAACATTCTCTGTTAGTAAAGGTAGAACCCACGTGAGCCTTGCAACTTTTACAGGTTTTTGCGGGAAGAGTTGTAGTCTCCCTTTTGCATTATTACACCTTTTGCCACCCCTCCTTCATGTCCCCATGCCTCAAAATGCGTGAGACGTGCCTGTAGCTGTCAAAGGACATTCTTGTATCCCAGGAAACATGTAGCGGGTGGAAGAATAATTCTGCTCTGCAGTCTGGAGGTGAAGACACAAAATGTTAACGTGCACGCCTTGACCTGGGACGTAGCAGGAACCAGGATGTATATATTTTAAGTTACAAGCGATCCTCAGGAATTGTTTCTGTAACCTGACAAAGTGTGGATTTATCATGTATATTATGAAAATATACATACCAGTGTTTCTGTTCTGCATAAGGTCGCTATTGGGGTGGTACGGACTCAAGGATTTGCTGATTGTTTTATGTTTGAAATCAGGGTGGCGTGGTGTGTGTGTGTGTGTGTGTGTGTGTAAGAGAGAGAGAGGGAGAGAGAGAGAGAGAGACAGATGTTATTCTATAACAGATACCTTATTCCCCTGTCTAGTCTGTGCTCATCAGGACTGGCTTTTCTTATGCCCTGGAGCAGGACTGTCCCAGATAAACCAGTTCCACATGTCATGATTTGAGGGACACTAACAAGGGTCATGTGTCATAGGCCAGTTACCAACAGAGACTAGGTCTTTGAAGGCCTTTTGTGTGAGAGAGTAGCTGGGAAATAGGGCTTCAGTGAGATGGAATTTTAAGCCTTAAAAAGCACAGGCCAAAATAACTTATTTTGATGTTCCCTTTCCTCTTCAAAAGTTATCCCTGCTCATGGATCAGAGGAAGAGGTGAGCTTTGATTTTTGCCCTTGCAGAGTTGCCTGGAATTCACTAGAATTGAATGTTACAAACTAGCTCATAAGATCTAGGACAAACTGAACTATTATTGATCAGTGCCTGGCCGATCTACCATCCATAATGATAAAAAAGAGTGAAAACGCTCTTGTTTATAGAATGCTTGCTATTGTGCCAGGCATTTTACATTTAGTTAACACAGCATCTCGTGTTGTTGTTGGTGAGTGCTATGGAGTCGGTCTCTGACTCATAACGACTGTGTCTAGGGTTTCTGATGCTGTGAATCTTTACAGAAGCAGAAAGCCTCATCTTTCTCCTGCAGAGCGCCTGGTGGGCTCAAAGCACCACCCGTGTGGTCTGCAGTCCAGCTCTTATCCTACAGAGCCATCACACCCCCAGCACCTCGTGAGGTAGATGTTATGTATGATGTCCAGTTCGTGAATGAAGATGGAGCAGCTCAGGAACTTGCCCATACTTGAACAGCCAGAAAAGTTAGAATTTGAATCCAGATCTGCCTGACTCACAAGAGCCCCCATGCTTAACTACTTCTCTGTTGGATTTTTTTCCTGATTCATGAAATGGGATAATAATAGCTACTTAGGGCTTATTTTTGGAGTCCTGACATGGTTCTGTAGGATAAGCACTGGGCTTCTAATCGCAAGGTCGACACTTCGAACCCACCAGTCCCTCCTTGGAAACCCTATACAGGGTCACTATGAATGGGAACAAACTCGACGGCATTTAACAACAATGAGAGATCATTTTAAGCATTCTATAAAAGACCCCTTCCTAAAAAAAAGAAACAAAACAAAAGCCAACACTCTGTAAAACACTTGTAATACTTAGGAGAATGGAAAGCAGTATTATTGGGAGTAGAAGAGAGTATGCTTCAGTGTCTCCATACGACTATGGACCCTTCATAGAAATCTGGATGTCCTGGAACTCATACCTTTTGCCCTTGGCTTTCTGGTGAGTGAGAGCAGTTTTTCTCCTGGTTGTAGAATTTGAAAAGTAGGTTGTTGGTCCTCCTTAGCCAGGGATATTTTCAACAACATGATTTTCTCACCTTGGAGCAGAAAGGCGCAAAGCGAGCACATCAGCCGGTCTGTAGGGCTCTAAAGCAGCTCTTTTTGGTACCAACAAATCGTATGTTTCTAACTGTACTTGCACATGTGTGCCACTTTCCCCCCTTTCTTGTTTTTCATAGATACCGAGTTGTTCCTCCGAATAACAGACATCAGCCATTTCTTGATGCAAGACATAGCCTTCTTGTCTGGTAAGCAACCTTCCACATAATTTTGATAGAAATGTATTCTGCAATTAACACAGTCAGTTTGGCCCTTTTTTTTTTTTGGTGGTGGTGTGCCGTGGAGTCGGTTCCGACTCCTAGCGACCCTGTACAGGGAGGTTGTAAATCTTTACGGGGGCAGAAAGCCTCATCTTTCTTCTGTGGAGCAGCTGGTAGTTTTAAACTGCTGACCTTGAGGTTTGCAGCCCAACTCGTAACCATTATCCTACCAGAGCTCCTTATACTGAACAATAGGTGATCAGTAAATATCGATGATGTGTAAATGAATTTGTGGGAGTGCCCTGTCTTTCCCCATAGACCATTGTTGTTGTTGTTAAGTACCATGGAGTCTGTTCTGACTCGTAGTGACCCTGCACAGGGTTTCCGAGGCTGTAAATCTTTACGGGAGCAGAACGCCTCATCTTTCTCCCGTGGAACCGCTGGTAATTTCGAACTGCTGACCTTTAGGTTGGCAGCCCGACTCGTAACCACTACGCTCCCAGAGCTCCTTACATAGACCATATGATCCATGAATGTCAGAGCCTTTTTGGCTTCCAGTGGTCATATATAACATCTGTTTTTAATGATGTAACTATAGTAGTTCAAAACTCCCCTTTACCACTGGTCAGATAGCTGGGGAAAGTTGTACTTAAAGACAAGCGACTTATTTTCAGATATTAGAGTAATTCAAATCATACCATTAAACATTATATTTAACAGAGAAAAATGTTTACTAGTTTATCCATTGTTTATATGAAAATGAGTACTTCTGAGGTGTTGAGAATACATGAAATTATCTTAGGCTTTTCAAGCTTTTAATTTCTCCTAAAATAACACCTACATGCTCAGTTTGCTTAACAACCATTTATTTTATAAACAATCCTAATTGGATACTTCAATCTGACCTCTGCTTTAATGATTATAATTAGTGGTAATTTTGAGTTGGTGGTGATTTTATTAATGTGGTTTTATGGTTTATTTTACAAGTGGTATGAATGTTTGACATCACATCTGGTAAAATTAAGTATATCTTTAATGCCTACTGCCCCCCCCCCCCCCAATTCAGCCCCCTCGCCACAGATTTTTTTCCTTATCTGTTTTTCGGTGGTTGTTAAAACGCTTCTTTGTATAGTATCTTTTGAAAGACAGGGCTCCCAGTGGAAAAAAGAATAAAAAAAATCTCCTTCTATAATATAAGGATCTCTTTTATTTTTGCCTCATGAATTTCCTACCTAGTTTAGTCCTGGTGTGGTGCTGCAGGATAAAGCACTGGACCACAAGGTTGATTTGAACCACAAGGTCAGCGGTTCAAGTCCCACCAGCCGCTTGGAAAACCTATACAAACAGGGTCTCTATGAGTCATAACTAACTTGCTAGCACTTAACGACAACAACAGCCAGTACTTTAAGTGCATAGAAGTCATAGCAGTTTATGGATTACTATGATTATTTACTCTTACAGGGTCCTAGCATCTTTTTTTTTTAAAAAGTGTAGTTTGACTAGATTCTAGATGGCTCTCTCCTTAACTCGAGCATTCACTAGCTTTTCTGGTATGGAAGGAAGCCTGGCATGTCTAAAGTTGGAGATGTAGTATACGGGTTCATGTTATGTCTTCTATATTATTTATACTTCTAGTTCCACACCAAGCCCTACTTAGTTTTAGAGAGGTCTTTTTGGTATCATGAGTTGCTAGACCTGTGACTTAGAGTTTACAGCTTTCTCCTTCTCTGTTTCTTTACAATTCTCGGTTGGATGCCATTAATATCACCTATTATCTTTCCATCTAGAATCTCATACAGTGAAGATTTACCAACATTTGATATCATACTTTGGATCAGTTTGCATTAAAACATCATTTGGGAATGGGGACTTCCACTCACGTTTTCCTTGGTAAAGATTAAGGCAAAGCATCTTTTTCCATAACCTCTAGAGAACAATGTGTCTTTGCTTTTGTTGAGTGAAGTGTTCTACAAATGTCAGATGGGTCAAGTTGGTTAATAATGTTGTTCAGGTCTACTATATCCTTACAGAGTTTTTGTCTTCCTGTTGAGCGATGCCTGCTGAAGGCTCCTTGCAGTCTGATCAGTTTTTGTTTCATATATTTTGAGTCTCTGTTATTAGGGGAATATTTAGGATTGTTGTATCCTCCCGATGAACTGGCCCCTTTATCATTATTAAATCATCTTCTTAATCCTGAATAACACTTTTGGCTTTGAAATCTATTTTGTCTGATCTTAACATAGCAACCACAGTTGTCTTTTGACTAGTGATAAAAGACTAGTGTTCTTTCTCAATCCTTTTCCTTTTAGCATATTTGTGCCTTTAAACATAAAGAGCATCTCTTATAGGAAGCATATAGTTGGATTTGCTTTTATCCAACTCGCTATTCTCTGCTTTTTAATTAGTGTGTTTAGATCATTAACATTTAATGTAATTTTTCATGTGGTTGAGTTTAAATCTACCATCTTACATCTTACTATTTGTTTTCTATTTGTCCCATTTGTTCTTTGTTTTTCTCTCCTTTTCTTACTTATGTATATTTTTTTACCATCCCATATTATCCCTTTGCCATTGTCAAATTTAATTCTTTTGTACATTGAATCCCCTCCAGAAAATTTGTGGTCTTTCTTTTTATAAGTAAACTTCCTATGCCATTAATATTGTCCATGTTGTTTCTTCCCTGAAGCCCATTGTTGTTAAGTGTCATCAAGTTGGTTCCAACTCACAGTGACCCTGTATAGGGTTTCAAAGGAGCGGCTGGTGGGTTTGAACCACTGACCTTGTGGTTAGCAGTCAAGTGCCTCTCCTATAATGCCAAATCAGGACTATTGAAGCATCACTTTTTCCTGTAGGTTTCAGCCTGTATCCTTTCCTGTTCAACGTGACTAAGAGGCGTTAACTTGCTGTCAAGTAGTCATCATTTTAAATTTAAGGGGATGGTGCTGGTGTAGAAACAGTTCTTTCTCTGTCTCCTTGGTTGCCCCATTTTTTTTTTTTTTCAGCCACATGCATTATATGTACTCAATGAAATTTTCTGATGGCAGTATTCATTCGTTTTACCTTTTATTTTTCTTTTCATTTAGAAGCCACTGTGCCACTTTTAAACTTGAAGTTTTGGGAGTTTGTGGTCATTTTGATTTATGTGAAAATCAGCCTATTTCTTGCGTCATTGCCACAAGTGGCTAACTTGGCGATTCTGTTTCACTGCTTCAGGTGGCCGAGGTAAGGACAATGCCTGGATAATTACATTTCCAGAAAACTGTAATTTCAGATGTATACCCGAAGAAATAATAACCAAAGTGCTGACTTATTTAACATTTATTGCAAGGTAAGCATTTCAGTGTGTGTGTGTGTGTGTGTTTTTCCTCATTTAAAAAAAAAAGCAGATAACCATTTGAATGCCATAACAAGAGAATGGGTTAATTCCCACACCCTCCATACACAGAGTAGACAGGGACGGATAACATGGACATTGGCTACCTAAAACGGGGGGTGGGGCTACAAAGGCAAGAAGTGACTGGCTTACAAGCTTTCAAGAGGGAGCCTAGATCCAGAGGGCGTGGAGGAAGGTAGAATCTCCACTAACTAGTATCAAATCTGTCTGGCCGGGGCCCGGGGCTGATGAAAGGAGATGCAGATAGGTCTTTTGTGATACGATAATGAAGAATTGTTATCAGGACTGACTGTGAGGGTTGGAAATGTAAAGGTAGACATTTTGTAGCGAAAGGGGGGGAGTGGTTGACTTTGCAGTCTAGGAGCCAAGGTCCCTGGGACCATCAAGGGAGAAGAGCGGAGTGCGGGACCCTACCCAGAGAAACAGTGATGCCAGAGATGGAGCGGCTGGGGACTCTAGACCCAGAGAGGGAGAGGGGCTGTGTGCTGATGACCGGGGGTGGGGCATGGGGAGTGCGGGGGGCAGGCCTGCAGGGTATAACCTTTGGTTGGTTGCTGATGCATGGAGGGGATTGTAACCATGGCAATGAAACAATATATGATAGGATGAATGTAAAGCTACATTGGACTGCAAGGTAGGTTTTGAAATACAGGGTCATCAGTACAAACTCACCTTATATGGGTCGGAACCGAATTGATGGCACTTAACAACAATGATAATTATTATAATCAGCAGACCCACATTTAAGTTTAAGAAATTGATTCTAGAAGAGGAAACCGTCAGCTACCTAAAGTTTTCTACAATTTATACTGAGGATTTATAGAAAATATAAATCTAGAAATATTTCTTCCTACGGAGACAATGGAAGCAGCAGTCAAGAAAACAAACAACGTACTGCATTAGGTAAATCTGCTGCCCAAGACCTTTTTAAAGTGTTGACGAGCAAAGATGTCAGCTTGAGGACTAAGGTGCGCCTGACCCAAGCCATGGTATTTTCAATAACCTCATATGCATGTGAAAGCTGGACAGTGAATAAGGAAGATCGAAGAAGAATTGATGCATTATATGGTGTTAGAGGAGAATATTAAAAGTACCATGGACTGCAAAAAGAACAAATAAATCTGTGTTGGAGGAAGTACAGCCAGGATGGCCACACTTCGTCTCTCATACTTTGGACATATTGTCAGGAGGGGCATATCCCAGGAGAAGGAAATCATGCCTGGTAAAGTGGAGGGTCGGAGAAAAAGTGGAAAACTCCCAACAAAATGGATTGGCACAGTGGTAGTAGCAATGGGCTGAAGCATAGTAATGATGGTGAGGTTGGTGCAGGACCGGGTAAAACAGTGTTTTGTTCTGTTGTGCATACATAGGGTCACTATGAGTCAGGACCGGCACGATGGCACCTAATAACAACAATGACAACATGGAGAAGAGCCTAGGTTAAGAGTGGTGGTCGTACCTAAAACCTATGTTGTTGTTAAGTGCTGTTGAATCAGTTCTGACTCACAGGAACCCTGTTGCAAAAAAATATTGCACCAAACCATTCTTCCCATAGCCCTCTCTACTCTTGCTGGTGTGCTGATTCCAAGGAGGAACTGGTGGGTTTGAATCACTGACCTTGCACTTAGCAATTCAGTACTTGCCCTACAGTGCTATACCAGGACTCACATTAAGCCTTAAGAGTTCCCTATAAGAAAATCTTGCCAACCAAGAGTGGGATAGTCAATATTCCGAGGAGAAAGCAAAGAAGACAGTTGTTAAACGGGATCAGAAGTAATATTGAGAGACAGATTAACTTTTTGATATTAAAAAGCGTTTGATACTAGAATGCTCTAAGTGGAAAAATTTCAAAAGCTTCCTCAGAAAGTTTATTTATGTTGCAGATGAACTTTTAAAGGAAACATTTTCAAGTTGCTGACCCTGAAGACTACAAGGGTGCAAGTGTGTTGTTGTTAAGTGCCATTGAGTCGATTGCAACCCATAGCGGCCCTGTATAGGGTTTCCAAGGAACAGCTGGTGAGCTTGAACCACCGACCTTGCAGTTCAAATGAGTTGCAGTCTGATGCATTAGAATGTGTCATGAACAGAAATCAAATCCTGGAGCACTAACTATAGTGCACACACTGAAGCCTGAAAATAGTTTTTTTTTTAGGGTAAATAAAAGTCCTGTTATTCATTGCAAAAAATTTTGCACCAAACCATTCTTCCCACAGCCCTCTCTAATCTTGCTGGTGTGTTAATTCTGACACAATACTGACAGTTATAGCGTTTATTAGGGAAGTTAACAGGTTACAATGTTGTTGTTGTTGTTGTTATGTGCCATGGAGTCGGTTCCCACTCATAGCGACCTGGTACAGGGTTTCCAAGGCTGTAAATCTTTACAGGAGCAGAAAGCCTCATGTTTCTCCTGCGGAACAGCTGGTAGTTTCGAACTGCTGACCTTGTGGCTTGCAGTCCAATTCATAACCACTAGGTTACCAGAGCTCCTTACAGGTTACAACACAGGGTCAGAAAGTGCTCAGGACACAGTTGTCCCAGTCAGTTTCCGATAAATGTGCACAGGATACACTGCTCCACCATAAGCCTTAACCTGAAGGCTCTCGGCTCTAGCGTTGTGGGTCAACAAACCTAGTTACCCCACAGGAGTACCTGGAGGCACCCCACTTTATAAGCAAGCTTTATGCCCAGAGTCACTCCGCTGTGTTTGCACCATGGGCTGGATAGCTCACTGCTCTGTGCCGCTCTCTGGTTCTTGGATCTGCTACTTCTGTTTCCCTTCCATTCCACTGGTGTCAGACAGCTTTCTGTTCCTGGGTACTGAAGGTTCAACGCACAGTGGTCTTGGGGTCCAAAGAATGCACTCCGCTCCTGGCTCTTCTTGTTTGAAGCTCCCCCTTCTGTTTTTGAGATGGCTTCTTTTATACTCATGCTAGAGCCTCAAGTTTTTACAATGACAATGAACTCAGCTAACATCCACAGCTGAATCATGCCATCCTATCAGTATCTGCTCCCACGTTCTTTCACCCAGAGCCAAAGAGGGAGAAACATTGCTATGTGGGAGTTACAAACTATGACTACAAGAGACATTAGATAATTCACAATAGCACATTCATTAAACCGCATTCCCTCAAGATGCAGACTAGAGACAAGGATACATATTCAGCAGTGTTTTTTGAATGAATGGATCGGCAGCTCAAGATGGATTGTCGTCTGATGTGAAGTCTGGTGTGGTGAAGGCTTTGTCAGTTAGTTTTCCCACACCCAGGATTGCAGTATTCCCAATCCACTTGAGTTACACATCTGCAGTATGCTGTCACTTTCCTATATAAAAGACTGACATTTATGCAAGAAAAAAAAAAAAAAAAAGAAAAGAGTTTCAGTACTGAGGAGGGGAGTAGGGAACCAAACTGGTTTTTCAAGGTAGCATTTTGTAATACCTTTCCAAAATTAAATTTATTCTTGGTCATAACATCAAATATCAATGAAATATTCATATCAAGCAAATTCAGGTTATTTTTGAGGAAAAACTTACTATGTCCTCTTATCTTACAGGCAAAATGGCTCTGACTCCCGTTTTACCATTATTCTGGATCGAAGATTGGATACATGGTCTTCTCTCAAGATCTCTCTACAAAAAATCTCAGTAAGTACTTATTATTATTAGGTGCCATCATGTCGGTTCTGACCCACAGCGAACTTTGGCAAAACAGAAAGAAACACTGCCCGATCCTGGGCCAACCTCACAATCATTGCTACACTTGAGCCCATTCTCAGGCACTATACCTGAGAATATTCTGGTGGTATTCATCGTGTTTCAATATTCAGTGTTCTGATGCTAGCTGACAGTGTTTCATTGCCACTCTTAAAGTTTTCAGTGACTAAATATTTGGAAGTAGTCTCTCTTCCTTCTTCCTCATCTGTCTTTGTCCAGAAGCTCATCTGAAACCTGTCCACCCTGAGTGACCCTGCTGGTATTTAAAATACTGGTGGCATAGCTTTCAGAATCACAACATGCGAGCCACCACAGTATGACAAACTAACAGACAAGTGGTGGTACAGATTCTATAGGAACTTATTTCCATTTTATATTTTATGTCTGTGGGGGTACCAAGAATGATAGTGATGGAGACA